TTTATTTCAAACCCTTTTAATCTACCCTGTAATGGCTTTAGTTTTCTGTGTATTCATCCATCCATCCATCTATCTATCCATTCAACTGTATATCTATCTATTATCTATTAGTCATCTATCTAGTTATCATCTATTATCTGTCTATTTACATCTACCACCTATAATCTATGTATCTATCATATATTACCTACCTAGTTATCATCTATCTAGTATCTATCATCTATTATCTATCTAGTTATCAACTATCTATCTGTCTATCTGTCTGTCTGTCTGTCTATATACCTACCTACATATCTGATATTTGATTTCTTGTTATTTATTTTACATAGTAGCTTTATGAACTTTTTGGGTATTTAAACCAGTTTTATAAGAAATTCATATTATTTTTATAAATTGTTTTATTTCCAACATTTCTAGAACATTAATTTTTTAAAATAAATTTATTTATTATGTATACAGTGTTCTGTCTGCATGTATGCCTGCATGCCATAGAGTACACCAGATCTCATTATAGATGATTGTGAGCCACCCTGTGGTTGCTGGGAATTGAACTCAGGACCTTCGGAAGAACAGCCTCTGAGCCATCTCTTCAGCCCCTAAAACATTAATTTTAATAATTTTCAATGGTGATGCTTCCACATACCTAATCACAGTCTGTCATTTTAACAAGTTTGTTTTGAAAAATGCTTCTGTATGTATATTGTATGCACACATGTATACTCGTGTATGTATGTGCACATGTAGAAGACACAGGTCAACATTAGGTGGTGTCTCTCCACCTTGTCTTTTAAAAAAGATTATTTATTTTATTTTATACATCTGAGTGCTTTGCCTGCATAGATGTATATGTACAGTGTGTATACCTGGTGCCAGAGGAGGCCAGGAGAAGGGGTGGATCCCCCGGAGCTGGAGCTGTGGGCAGTGGCGGACTGCCAGGTAGGTGCTGAGAATGGAACTTGGGTCCTGGTCAAGAGCAGCAAATGCTCTCAACAGCTGAGCGATCTCCAGCCCCTCCACCTTAATTTTTGAGACAAGGTCTCCCACTGAACTTGAGGCTCACAACTTTGCTGGACTGTCTGACCAGCTAACCTCAGGTACCCCCTTCTTTCCCAGCACTGAGATTATCGGGGGACACAGTTCCACCTGGCATTTTTACATGGATGTAGAGGATTTGAACTCAGATCCTCATAGCATTTTTATCCATCGAGTCACCTTTTTAGGCCCCTGAAAAGCTTTTAACATTAGAATTCCTCCCTCCCTCTCTTCCTTCCTTTTCTTCCGAGACAGGGTTTCTTTGGGTAGCCTTGGCTGTCCTGGAACTTGCTTTGTAGACCAGGGTGACCTCAAACTCAGAGATCTGCCTGCCTGTGTCTCCCCAGTGCTGTAATAAAGGTGTGTGTCACCATTAGCCAGCTAACATTGGAATTTCTTAATAAAAATAGTATCTTAGTTAGGGTTTCTATTGCTGTTACAAAACACCATGACCAAAAGGTAAGTTGGGGAGAAAAGGGTTTATTTGGCTTACACTTTGCTATTTATCACTGAAGGAATTCAGTTCAGAACTCAAATAGGGCAGAATCCCAGAGGCAGGAGCTGTTGCAGAAGCCACAGGGGGGTGCTTCTTACTGGCTTGCTTCCCATGGCTTGCTCTATCTATCTTTCTTAGAACCCAGGACCATCATCCCAGGGATGGCACCACCCACCATGGGCTGGGCCCTCCCTCTCCCATTGATCACTAAATGAGAAAATGCCTTCCAGCTGGATCTTAAGGAGGCATTTCCTCAGCTGAGGCTCCTTCCTCCGATGACTCTAGCTTGTGTCAGGTTGACACACAAAACCACCCAGTTACAAATAGTCAAATACGGATCAATCGTCTTTTTCAAAAGTTTTCTTTTAGGTATCTTTATTTTATATTTGAGGTGTCACTTGCATGTATGTCTGTGCAGCGTGCATGTGGATGGTCCCCGAGGGGGTTAGAAGAGGGCATAAGATCCCCTGGAACTGGAGAGAGGTGTGAGCTATCATATGGAGGCTGGGCCTTGATTCCAGGTCTTCTGCAAGAATAGCACGCGCTCTTAGCATCTGAGTTCTCTCTCCAGCCCTAGATAAACATTTTTAAAGATGATCGGTCCAGGTAGGGACTCCTGCTCTCTTAAAGACTTGGGATCTGTACTCAGGTGTCTTGGTGGCCTCTGAAAGAGTCTCCTTTGTAAACAGAGTTTTGGGGTCTCTATAGACTTTCATCCATAGACCAAGCATTTTTCTTCTTGTCTTAGTAAATAGAATCTTGCAGGGCTGGGGGTTATAGCTCAGTGGGTAGAGTGCTTGCCTGGTGTTTGTGAAACCCTAAGTTTAAGCCCCAGCACCTTGTAAGCCATGTACAGTGGCCTACACCACTAATCCCAACACTTGGAAGGAGAGGCAGGAAGATCAGACGTTCAAGGTCTTGAGGTGGAAACCAATGTGTGAGAAGTTGTTTCAATAAATAATAAAATGAAATAAGATAAACCGTTGTCTGTCATGGTGGTTCACACCTGTAACTCTAAGACTGGAGAGTCTTAGGCAGGAGGGCTGCTGTGTGTTTTAGCATAGCCTAAGCAATGCAGTGAGGGCCAGGCCAGCTGGGGCTACAGAGTGAGAACTTGTGTTTAAGAACAAACAAATGATAATAAAAACAAAACCAGAAGAGGAAAGAGAAAATCTTGAGTCTCTGTTCCACCTGTTGCTTAAGCCAGCGATGTGGGAGCCATTCTGTACATCTCTTCTCTCTCCACCTGGTCCGAAGCAGCACATTCTGTCTTGTGGACATCTGGAGCAGTCTTCTGTCCGGTCCTCTTCTCTCCTGTTTTTCTACAGTGGCTGGATTCTCTCTCAGAACTGTACACTATGCATTCCTTCCTTCAGTGGGCTCCCTACTATGATCGGAATACTCAAACCTCAGTGCAATGGTCTGAGTCCTACCCCTCTTTAATTCCATTGCCTTGTCTTCCTTCTGGATTGTTGTCACGCCTTGTGGTAGTTTGAACGCAACTGGCCCCCATTAGATCTATAAATAGTGGTGCTATTAGGTGTGGCCTTGTTGAAGTAGAAGTGCCTGGTTGGAGGAAGTACGTCACTGTGGGGGTGGGCTTTGAGGTCTCCTATGCTCAAGCTACACACAGTTCAGTTCACTTCCTGTTACCTGTGGATCAAGACGCAGGGAGCAAGAAATTTATGTCAAGAGATTGAGGGGCAGGAAGTGGTTACTCTCAAAGCATGGGTGCTGCTGTTTGCTTCCTGTTGGGGACAAAAAGTGAGAACAGGGACCCAGATTGTTGTCCCTTGAGCCAGTGTGTGTATGTATGTGTGTGTGTGTGTGTGTGTGTGTGTGTGTGTGTGTTGGTAGGTGTTACAGTAACAGAGTTAGGAGCTGCCAACTATAGCTGCACTGAGAGGGCTTGAGACACTGACCAGCAAGACCAGACAAATGGACATCCGGTAGGTTGAAAGGAAGGAAGGTCCTGATCCTTGAGGGACCCATTCCATCTTAGTAGGTCTTGATGTCCCCAACTGGAGAGACAAAGAGACCATGTACCTGTGTGTGTTCCTTGAGAACCAAACTCCTTCTCCCTGAAAATAAAATATTGCCTTCCACTCTTTTCACTGTGTATGTGTGCTTGCATGTGTGTGTGTGTGTGTGTGTGTATGTGTGTGTGTGTGTATGTGTGTGTGTGTGTATGTGTGTGTGTATGTGTGTGTGTGTATGTGTGTGTGTGTATGTGTGTGTGTATGTGTGTGTGTGTGTGTGTATGTGTGTGTATGTGTGTGTGTGTGTATGTGTGCTTGCATGTGTGTGTGTGTGTGTGTGTATGCATGTGTGTGCACATGGATGCATTTCTCTTCCTGGCTAGAAAGAGGTGGGGAGGACAGTGCTTTACCAAAACCCGAAATGACAACGTCCACATTATTTTTCTGGATTGCGTCAGAACTCTAAGGAGAAGCTGATGTAAGCTCTAGAAAAGTCAGAAAACGGACATTCGTCTGCTCGCCTGGGCTTTATGGCTTCCAGGTGCGGCTCAGATTGCAGATGAACGAGTGCCTGACACCCCTGAAAGCAGGAGCCCCGGCTTCCTGGAGGTCCAGCTCTGACAAGTAACTCCTGCTACGTGGATTTCCCTGCTGCTAAAGGTGATTGGATGGACACCTGTGAGGGCTTTTGTATATGCGTTTCCATGAATTCCTAATACGTTCACCATATGGCAGCAAGTCTTCCATCTGCTTCAGAATTGCTGCAGTCTCACGCAGTGCTTTTCCCAGGACCACTGGACGTAGTCTGCAATGGCTTTTCTCTTTCATTCCTGCCGTTGGCTAGCTTTCTCTATAGAACTTCTCTTTTTCCTTTCTTGTCTTTCTTGTTTTCAGAGACAGAGTCTCACGTAATCCAGGTAGCCTCACAATAGATATAGATATAGAGATAGAGATAGAGATAGAGATAGAGATAGAGATAGAGATGATAGAGATATAGATGATAGAGATATAGATGATATAGATATAGATATAGATGATATAGATATAGATA